AACAACATACGATGCCAACATTCTCGTAGTCTGTTTCTTTTTTGTCTTACAGAAACAACATATGCAGCATGTTGTTCAATTTAAGTAAAATTACATGTATAAAGTAGAAATAAATTTTGAATCACTGTTCAACGAATTGGAACTTGATATATGCGATTTTTTCTCTAGTGTCCATATTTTCCCCGCATTCTATGACCTCAATACTTGTTTCTATGGTCTGATTATTAGTTAGTTTCGAGTCAATGGTCATATGGACTTTCAATTTGTTTCCAATCGACATCTGGGTGAACATATGGGTATGGCTGACGAGAATGCTCACATTCATAGCCGGACACATCTATGCCCTCTACAAGATTGTTGTTTTTTTAAAACGTATAAACAATATAAATTATCAATATGAATCATATGTAATAATGAAAATCTATAAATAATATAACAAATGTGTAATCATTATCACTACTTTCATTTTAATTAATGTACTATTTATTTCTGATAATTTTGGATTTAGAAATAAATTTATTTTATAATTATAATTTATTTGGTTAATTTACGTAGTGTTATCATTTTGATTATGTTATAATTGCATAGTGATCACAGTTACACGTTGTTATATTATTTTACACTTTTCTTAATTACATATGATTGATATTATATTAATAGTTTCATGATGTTGTATGTATGTGTGGGTGTGTGAGTGTGCTTTCTCCTCACTCACCTACACTCATACACACACTCTTGACGAACATTTGATTTTCAAAAAGGTATTTAAAAGATTTCTAGCATCATCAACGAAAATTGATCATGTTTATTAATGTTTTCGAACAAAAAAGGGATAAGTTAGTAGAATTTAGACGCTTTATTAATTTTAATTGAACTGTATGAGTCTTGTTCATTGAAGTTTCATGCGACTGCAGCAGCTTGCTTGATACGTTAGTTCAATCAACTGACTACTGGATGAAATAAATAAAGATAAGAAGTTACTTATTGTTCTCTGAAGAATTCTAACTTACTCTCATTCTGCCATCTCCACCCGCCACGGTTCTTTCTCTGTCTAGGCGTACTTTTTGATTCATCTTACTTTCTTGGCGTCTCAGCTGTTCTGTCTTAGCATCACCTATAAATAACATATGCAAAAAAAAAACGACGCAGATAAGAGTTTTTATCATCTCAAACTCATTTTGTAGAAGAAGATAGAAAACTGGTATTCAACTAGCTTACGTATCGCTGCCTCTTGCATTTTTAATTGTTGCGTAGATCTTTGGTTAATAATAGCATACTGTGACGGTTGACACAACTAAAAGAAAATTAATAAACTAATTTCTAAGATAAGGCCAACATTTTTAAAACAGCGATATAACAGTTCTCTCGATATTCTTAGATTTCAGTGAAAGAAATCGACTTTAATAAAAGTCATTTTGTGTCTCGAATAGAAACAACTCTTACTTTAACATTTCTATGTTGATCTGCTGTTGTGAAGTGTTCAACATCAGTATTCGCTTCATGATCATATTTCAATTCTGTTGTTATCGTTGGCAGTTTTGACCTAAAAATAGATTATCAAATAATTCTTCTACTCTACCACGAGCAAGAAAGATACTAATGCCATGACATGTTGAGACAAAATAATAAGAGTAGAGCAGGCTTCACTTCCTCAACCTTTGAACGTACCCGATAATCTGTGATTGTTCCTTTTGTATTGAAGATAACATATTTCTACGTTTAACGCTTCGATCATTTAAAAAGCGATTTTTATGGACTTTGTTACGATTTTCATATCTCTCATAATCTTAAATAATAATATAGAAATAACTTATCAAATATAATTCGCGCTTTTACCCTCAGAATCGAAAGATACCAATAACTCATTCTGATCATTATTGCCCACATTTAATTCATTCACCAAGGTTCCAATTGATTCGTATACTCTATTATAATAATCAGTTTTTTTGCTTTGATCTTTAGCAGATAGACGTGAAGAACTGGAGTCTTTCTTGCCAATAGTATCTTAAAGAAAACGAATGAGAAGTCAATATGGTCATACAGAAAGTGAGCAGAGCACATATATTACCGTTGTCTTTCGAGGCAAGAAGATCCTGTTGGTTTTGATGTAAAGTAGTTCTTTGACTTTTTCTGTAAGAGAAAATAAGCTAATATTTTGTCCAATCATAGTTTTCAAACTGAAATAAATTCATTTCAACTTACGTTCCAACACTAAGCCTTGTATGTCCAACATATAATTTAATAGTTTTGCTTTCTGTGCAGGCTAAACCTATGTATTCTTTGGCCAATTTGTGTGTAACAAATCGTAAATCGTAGGTATTACACTGATAAAAAGAAGTGTTAGAAAAACAATATTGTACGTACGAAACAAAAATAAAAACCGATTATTTTACCGTGGATGAAATTTGTAACAATCGATCACCTATATCTAATTGTTTATTTGTTTGATAATAAGCTATATCTGTGATAAATATACCGTGATCACTTCAATGATAAAACAGTTGCAAACCATGGCAAACGAGAAGAAATAAATATTTCAATAGTATTTACTTTGGAAAATATTCATCGCCAATACCACCTGCAATGAATATGCCTAGTTTTCCATTATGCTTTAGTTCAATCTCTTCGCTATTCGATGGTGAGAGACGACGTATCAGCTGGACAGAACGATAGAAGAAAAAGATAAATTTTGATGGAAGATTTGACACATATGTTGTATATCTCACCAATTGAACTATCGGACCCGATTCTCTCAATATTTTCAGAGCATTTTGATATTTAATATTCGTATAATCGGCATTATTCACCCGCAATATTATATCGTATACTCTGAATTAATACAGTGATTATTGAGAAAGGCATTTAAACGAACATTCATTTGTTCACTTTAAAAGTTTACTTCTATGTGCCAGACTTTTTTCAGTTATATTTGTGACAATAATTGATGTAAAATGATGATGAAGAAAAGGTCTGTCAATACCACCAGTGATAGTGAATCCCAACAATTGGTCGTCCCTATGTGACTTTGAAAAAATATAATAAATACAAAAGATCAAAATAAATCCAAAAAGAAACGGCTACAAACTCTTTCAAGAGTAATTTCTTGGTTTTTCCAATGTTCTTTGTAATCGAATTTTATTATATCCGACATATGGCAATCGATGTGAATTGTTTTTATTTGCACTGATTTTATGCAAAAAAATATCGAATGATAACAAGAGGCAAAGTATTACTAAATATACTTCGAAATAAAAATATACCTCTAAAGAAATGAAAGTAAAAGTGGACGTACACACGACAGTTTCATATACTCAAGATAAAAAGGTGTTGGTTTTTGCTTATGCCATAGAATCGAAGACATAGAGCGAAAAACAGCTTTCATTCAAAAATTTTGATTTCGATTTAATTACTTATGCATTGCACTAATGTGATTATCATCATTGTCGAATTGTTTCGAAATTGTTTAGCATTCGGTATCATAACGATCATACTCGTCAACATCGACAAGCAACATGTAAGAAAATAACCTATTCGATTCTCCATTCGATTGTGTTATATCCCTAGTCGAAGCAATGAGCTGTTTTTCTCATATAGAAATCCTTATGCACGTGATTCATGTTGCTATAGAAAAGAATCATACCAACGTCGTCACTGAGAGAAAAGCAAAGAAAGATGAAATGGTTGCCTAGAGAAGAAAAAACACGGTTTGATTCACCCATGTTTCACGATTGCAAAGAAAAATATGCAGCACTCGTTTTTCTTGTATATAAGAGGACGAAATAATTTTATGCTTTTTTTCAAGTTTGTTGACTGAAACATGACAACAACATTGAACAAATTGCTTGGCGAGCGATTGCTCCAACACAACGAACCAAAAGAAGTACCAATTATTCAACTCGATGGCAAAACTGTCGTTCTCTATTTCTCGTTAGTTGATCATTAATTATAAACCAATCATAATTTCGATTTTTTCTTCTAGAGCCCATTGGTGTCCACCTTGCCGCAGCTTTACACCAAAACTGACAAGAATCTTCAAGAAATTTCAGAACGAAGTACAAGACAAAATGGACATCGTCTTTATTTCTGACGATGAAAGTCCAGCTGAATTTGATAAATATTTCAAAGAAATGCCATGGAAAGCAATACCTTTCTCGGGTACGTATGTAACATAACGAAGTGGTAAAAAGGAAAAATAGCACTCTATTGATGTCATAGTGACCTCATTTCTTTCTGTCTTCATGTTTCTCTTTAGAAAGAACTGAAGAGAAAAGCTTTTCCTGAAAGCAATATTATGATTCTGCATATATATATATATATTGCCTTTCAAGAATAAACATTCTTTCGGACTTGTTTACCAGTAAAAAAAACCATAAATACCTAGAAAAACTTCATTTACTAGTAGAACAACAGAAAATACTTCAGATGATTAGTTGTAATATAGGACAAGACTGAAGAAAGAGCATTTTTTCTCTAGTGTATTCAAGAGAATTGAATTGAGCATTTGTGCATTTTTTTGAGAAAAATTTATCTTATATTATGAAGGGACGGTTGTTATTTTTGCTCGTGTTGATTTCAAATTTATATCAAGGCACAGACTATCATAGGCTATATACAAATGGAGACTAGAGTATTTAGAAAACCAAAACAATGGGAAAAATGATTAGTTTTTAATAAAAAAAACAATGAAATTTCTACTTGTGAAACAGACACTTTAAATGATTATTTTGAAAAATAATTTATGGGAATACAATCAAAACAAATCATGTGAAATTAATCAAAATTATCTCATTGAAATGGCGAAAAAACATTGAAAACTAATCGAAATAATGGAATAGAGGGTGCAAAAACAGACAAAAGCAATCATTTAAACAGAATTAGTTTCATCATTCGACTTCTATCTAGACTCAATTATAATTGAAGAACCTTTTTTTTGAAAGAATTCTGTTATTTAGAACGCGATCATTCACGAAACTTAGGTGAAATATTCAAGGTCGAAAGCATTCCATCACTCATTGTTCTATCTCCATCATGTGACGCTCTCACTTCAAACGGTGTTGAAGAAGTCGAGTCACTAGGCATAGAAGCATTACACTTGTGGTCTCAAGGCAAATCTCCTTTCTGGAGACGTACACCGCGTGAAGGCGAACCTGTTTGGAATAATATCATCTGCACTCAATGCCACATGCGTCCATTAGTCGGTCGACGTCATGGTTGCCCTCATCAAGAGTGTAATATTAATCTGTGTGAAGGATGCATCTCGAAGAATGGTCACGAACATCCTCTCGTTGAATATCTGTTTCCCGAGCATCGCTATTCTTTGAAACAATTGTTTGCATCAGTGCCATATTTACTTGCTCCCAACAATGGAGACCAACTCGAAACAAAGATATTGTGGAAAGATCATATCAAAAGTGTTGGACTATATTTTTCTGCGCACTGGTGCCCACCTTGCCGTCAATTTACACCTCAATTGGCTCAGCTCTACAAAGAAGCTCAAGCTAGCAATCATCAATTTTCATTAGTCTTTATCTCAAGTGATCGAGATAAAACGTCGTTTGATGAATATCGTGCTGAGATGCCCTGGCCTGCCGTTCCTTTTAACTCGGTAGCTGTACTCGAGGATTACTTCCAATGTCTAGGCAAGTGAACGTTTTTATTTTCATTTTCATTGGCACACTCTCTCTTCTTTTAGGCATCCCATCACTCTTAGTTATCTCAGCTGATGGAAATATTTTGACACGTCACGGCTGCGATCAAGTATCACGTAAAGGAGTTGAAGCTCTGAAAACATGGGCCAAGGGTGAAACACTACCTCGTCCTCCAGCAGACAAGTTCGAATGGTCACACGTATCATGCGATAAATGCCACATGACACCAATCATCGGTCAACGATATCATTGTTCAACATGTAGTAACTATGATCTTTGTTCGGCTTGTGAAAAGAAAGGACATGAACATCCACTCCAATTGATCCAACAACCAAACGATGATGATGACAATTGACATTAATAAAATCTTTTTTTTTCTTTCAATTTATGTCACCTTTTTACTCACTTCTATCATACTCAAAGGTTCACTTTCAAAAACCTGTTTCTCAAGCATCGAACATTCTACGTTATCATGAGCATGAGCTAAACGAAAAAGATCTAGGTTACATTTCTCGATGAGAAAAGCAGAGACACCCAGACGAGCAAAAAATGACAGAGGACGCCCAACATAGCTAGTCTCGAATGTTTGCACTACCGTCTGATCAAGTCTGAGATGACCTGCGATTCATCAGGACTAGTAATCTTGATGGAGTAGGTCGTGTAACTAAATATAGACTGGTTCAGACTGTGTCTACCACTTGCCATGACTAGTTTATTTTGTCCATCCATACTGTTCAGACTCGTCAGTAAAAACAGAAAGTACAGAAAGAAAGATGACGACAGGTAGATTCGAACATTGAATTCCATAATATTGAAAACCTGACCAGTCTGCACTATTTTCAAAAGTGATATCGATTAGTGTGAAACGTCATATTTATCGTTCATGACTAGTTCGTTTTGAGGAAGCAGTGCTAATCTTAGTCCAGAGTAGTCAAAGTTCTTCAAACATTTTATTTTAGTTTGATCTTACTTTCAGACAACTTTTTTAAACTGATTCATAGTGAAACTAAAAAATTGTGCAAGAATTTTTCAAGGATTTCAATTACTTCTTATAATTTCTAATTCGTAATTAGATACTTTTATAATATAAAACACATAGTAAAATATTAATCATCTAGTTTTTATTTTTTCATTTTCAATAGAAAGAGCTTTCCTAACACGAACACTTACGACATATACCAAATCTTTGTGAATCATCATAAATGTTTTCTTCCTAGTTGATTTGTCTAATAAAAAATACTTCATATTATTCAATATTTATTTCTAAAGCCAAATATCAATTTACTATTTTTTAGAATACACGAAAGAGGGTTACGTGAAATTTATTCTACTTAGGATATAGTTATTTATTATGGCTTTTCATAATGAGTTTGCCTATATAATATTTGAATGTTGACTATAATTAATTTTTATTCAATTTCAAATTTATCTGAGGCATATTTCATATCTTTCAAGTATTTCTGTAGATAAAATACGAATAATATCTTTTGCAGATTTTTATCATTGGAAAAATAAATCGAATATTGAAAAGTATAAGAACAATAACATCACAATTAACCAGTTTCATCAACAATATTAGGAAATAACTGTAGATATCTATTTTTTCGTACGCAAATTAGATTAATTCCAACTAAACACAAAAGTACTTATATTGCTAAAATAGATGATAGATCTGAACGCTTTTTCTTCTCAAAAAGTTCAGTAAAATCAAAACCTGATTTCTTTCTTTCAGAGTATATAATATCTAAGAATATAATCAAACAGTGATTGATACTTTCGTTCAAACAATTTTCTTCTATACTGAAATCATCTACTGGTTCGCTTAAAGAATGTGTATCACTCGATTGAAGTTCTCTATTGTTTGTGAAGATAACTCTACTTTTTTAGAAAGATATAGAAAAAAAATCTATTCTTATATATTTGGGATGCATCTGCGCGCGATTATAAATTCGACATCGTTCAAACGTGTTGTCACCTTGGCAACTGTGAAACGCGTTTCTGGCCTTGATGCGTCTAGACACGATCATTAATTAGAACGCATTCAGATGCATCTTTGAAACGCGAGTGAACGCAATTGTTACTTTAAACGCGTTCAAGTGGGTTTTCGCCTTTAAAATTGTGAAACACGTTTCTAATTTTGATGCGTCTGAAAAACGCATCTGAACGTGTTTCAATAATATTTCTTTATCCAACCGCGTCGTCCAGGCGCGTTTTAAACGCGTTTGGTCTGCGTTTTGGTTTCACATGGGAACCAAAATAAAATCATGAATATGTTTCAGAACAGCTGTATTTACATCTAATTCAATGCTTATAATAATAAGCAAATAAGCAGCAATGAAAACGAAAAATAGGACGCTCTTATAAAATGTAGAAATAAAAAAGAAAACATTTGGTGACAATCAATTATCATTGACAAAAAAATACCATCTTTTAGAGATTTTATACTTTCAAATTTATTTTCCTAGTTTAACTAGAAATTGAACGTCTTAATTGTATTTATTGTATAATATCAGAAAGGCATTTTATTCCCAAGAGTCAGTCTCGATTTTTGCATTAAGAACTATCGGTCAACACCTTTGATAGTTATTGAAGAAACATTCAGCTCGTTCTGTACTGAGAAAAAAAAAGAATATGCATTTTTTTTCTTGAAGGAAAGAAAAATAAAAGAGTTTACCGATAAAAGTAATGTACAGCCATAAGCTTTATAGAGCGTTTTTTTTTCTTTTCTCCTCAAGCAACGTCAGTGGGTAAGTTTTTATTGCATACAGCCAGCTCGAACAGGTATGATCATATTTCGTTACATTGTATAAGGAGAAATACAGCGTGTATACAGATTTCGTATATTTTGTGCTCGATAATTTCTTTTCTCTACAAGAGAATATGATGCACTCATTGAAAGAATAAATGCATCAGTGAATATATGTGTGCATGTGCAGGTTATTTTAAGAGGCAAACAAATATAGATCGATGGTTTGGGTTTTCTATTTTTTTTATATTTCAAATGCATAAAATACTAAAAAATTTAATTAGATTTTCTTTGACAAACCATATTAGCGTTAATTTAAACTTGAAAGATCATAGACGTTTTTTCCTGTTTCTAAATCTTCTATACAATATTATTTATGAGATTATAGAACACATTAATGAGCTAGAATAGCTTATGTTAATAGACAAACTACTCGATTTTGGAAGAATAAAATCATCTAAAAGAAAATGAAAAAATCTCCAACGAAGATGATTCTTTTAAGATACTATAATTTTGAGATGTGTCTCAAATTTTTGAGGAAATATTCATCTAAAATATATTCACAACATTAGAAATGAATAGTCAATATTGGTCAGAATGTTAATTTTATTCGTGTTGATTTATTTATAAAAAGAAAGCTAAAACTAACAGTTTTCTTCTCATATGAATTGTCGAATGTTTATCGTAATTGACTTAGATATATTTGAAATTGATTAAATTTTATTTTTCATTCATTCTTATATTTTAAAAAAGTCAATTTAGTCACATGTGTATTTCTATTGTTAAGATGTCATTTGGAGAAGAGCAACGTATTATTCTTATTACTGGTGCTAACAAAGGTATTGGCTTTGTATTAGTAAAAAAACTACTGAAAGAATTTCCATCGGACAGCACTCTTATTCTACTTGCTTGCCGAGATTTAAAAAAAGGTGAAGACGCACTCATACAGTTAAATTCTCCATCTAATGTTAAACTTCTTCAATTGGATACATCTTCAAGAGAATCGATTATTCGTGCTGTTGATCAAATAAAACAATTCTATGATGGTAAATTAGACGTTGTTGTTAATAATGCTGCTATATCAACAACAGAAATAACAGTAAATGCAGCACGGGAATTATTTAATACAAATTATTATGGAATAAAAATACTGAATGAATATTTAATTCCTCTTATGAGAGAAAATGGTCGAATAATAAATGTGTCTAGTCGAGTTGGTTCTATTATTTTACAAGAAGCTTCGAAATCACTTCAAGATAAATATACATCATCAACATTGACGAAAGATCAACTTGATAAATTAGTCGAAGATTTTATATCATCGATTGAGAAAAACAATCTCGAATCTCTTGGATATAATTCCAAATCAGACTTTCTAATCTATGGTGTTACAAAGGCAGCGTTAAATGCTCTGACACAAATTGAAGCACGTGAATTATCAAGTAGAAAAAATTTACTATTCGTCAGTGTAACTCCAGGATTATGTGCTACAGATATGACTCGAAATATGCCAAATACACGTCCACCTGAACGTGGTGCTGATTCGATTTTCTATGCAATTAATACTTCTCGTGATCAATTGAAAAATGGTGCTTTTTATCGAGATGGTCAACAACTACCACTAATCAATGGGTCGATTATTATTAATTAATTAAAATTGAATGAAAAAGATCAAGTGAATAACTAACGTTTTATTCTAAAGGGAGAATCAAATGAAAATGGAGAGTTACTCCTTTGAACAATCGATTCTCTTTTTGTAGACTGACATTAAACATGGTTCTTTACTATCATTAAATGAAGTCAATCGTTTTAACAACTTCAATCAATTTTAAAAAAATGAATTCCATTCTTTTTGTCTTAAATAATTTTATCTTCTCAAATATGTAAACGGTTTTTATTCATAATCATAAATTTAGTCCTTTGTTAGAAACTTTTTCTATTTGAAATCAACCTATTTTATTGTCATATAAGAAGTATCAATTACGAAAATAAACATTTATTCTTTTTTTCTTTATCAAAATAACGTACATAGTCAGTTAGTTGTGCAATTACAAATATGTCCTTTTTCTTAACATTTCATAAATGATTGTGACACACTACATCCGTTATTTTTGCATATCTTACATTCTAAAGAGATATATAGAAGAAATAAAACTTAGCTGAATTCAATGAACTATTTATTAATTAGGTTGATGGAATTTTGCCATAGGCTTTGAGTAAAAGTTTTTCAGCAAACACTCTGAACTAATTATGAGTTCCACTGTGGACGTACACAAACCCGATTCTTCTAGCTTATTTCATTGAGGAACTATTAATGTTTTACTAAAAGCGTTGTAATCAACCAACTAACCACCATAACATGTATTGAGATTGATGTATTTCGCCTGCGATGAGTCTAGTAGTGGTATTTATCTTGAGTTTCAATATGATGGTAAGTTGCGAGATCATGGTGATTGAAACTTAAAACAAATGCCACCATTGGACTTTGTATAACTCCTCAATGAAATAAGCTAAAAGGAATGGTTTTTTGTAGATGGACAGAGAAATTCATAGTTAGTTGAGATGGTTTGTTCGAAAACTCTACAGCAAAATCCCACCAGCCTGACTAATAAATACTTCAGTTAATTCAGCTAAGCTACACTTCTCCTATACTGATGTATAAAAAAAACACCTAAGTGCTTTAGTTTTTGGCATCTCCAACAGAATATAAATCAGTAAGTCACATTATCTTGAAGATTGACTTTGAAAACAAGTGACTAGAGTATAGAGATAGTTTCTATGCGTTGATAATATCTCTTAAAAATTTCAGTTATTATTTGCAATGAATAGTTTTTATATATCAATGTTAAATATGTTCGTCATCATCATTGGAATTCTTTTGTCTATTTTCACTTTTTTCATTATGAAAAAAATTTAGAATTTTGTATGTTTATAACAATTCGAATTTCGAAAAAAAAAAATTTCGTAGTTTCATTTAAATTTGTGTTACTATATATACTGATTTTGTTCTTAGTGCTATGTTGAAATAGGAAAATATTTTCTAAGTATGTTCTAAATGAGTTACATTTCATTATTAGATTTGTCTTGCTTATATTAAAATAAAACTGAGAATTTTAATTGATTTCAACATTGAGCTATCAATAAAAGTTTAGCTGAATATGCTACGCATCAATTCGATTATGTTGATAAAAGAAAATTATTTATTAAATCGTATTTAAATAATACTTGATTTTAGATTTATCAATTCTCGATTGAGATCTGCTAAAAAAAAATGATCATTTACAAGATAATAAAAATCATATGCTTTTTTTTATCACATATTCAATAAAGGTAGACGTTTGGTTACATCTAAAGAACATCAGAAATAATACATCTATTTAAGATAAACTAGTGTACGAAAAAAATGATTTATAAATAAAATCACATAATTATTTATGTGTATTGGTAAAAAAATGTTTATATTTATTTATTTGTTACTTTTATTAAAAGTGAATACAATTTATGGATTTGATGCAGATTTTATAGAACTAGCATCTTCTCGTCAAAATGATAACGATACAACACATTATAGTATAACTATCTGTGCACTTTGTCGTGTATAACTATTGACTATTTACAATCAGCATATAATATTGATACAACATATTTAAGCATAAAATTTAACAAAACAAATGGTCAATGTCAAGAAAACATGGTTAAGAATAAAGTTAATCTATTAAAAAGTTCTCAAGCAAAAGGTATTAATCCATGGCTTTATTCAACAACAATTAAACAAATAGCTTCATCAAATACAGAAAACAGTTTTAAAAGAAATGTTTAAAGAAGAAAATCATTTTGATAGTGAAACAATTGTTAAAGAATCAAAATTGATAATGAAAAGATATCAAACAACATTAGATGCAATTTTAAAAACTGATAATTATAATCAAGGACGTAAAACATTTGGAGAAATGTTACATACCATACAAGTAAGTTTATTTTATTTTATTTTATTGATTTCTATAGCAATTGGTTTTAATTTACTTAAAAAATCAAATCCAAAAGAAAAATGGTCACGTGGAGATTCTTTTGATAGTTCACCAAATAATGAACCAACAGGTGATATCAGTAAAGATAAATTCGATTCAGTTCATGGTCATTTACATTATCAAGCAGCGACTATGACTTAAAAAAAGCTACTCTTAACATTTTAACACAACTCCGAAACGATATTGGTGATGAGTCTTCAGGCTTATTTTTAAANGATTTGAAGATGCTCCCTAGATTCAAATATATGTATACGATGAAAGATAACAATTTCAGAAGAAATTACGCTAATTTAAATGATGTCGATGAAAATAGTTTCAAGAAAAAGCTTTTCTCTTAACTTAAATGTCTCTTATAATGAATATTGTACTATAGATATCAGAACTAATCCTATTTAACGATATTAAGAATATTTCATGCAAGTTTAGAAATCTATTCAAATCTCGTGAAATTCTCAATTTGATCGTTTTCATTTTGAACGAGTGTCCAAATATTTGAATTATTATTTTCAATGTGCAGAAAATTTAGCCGCCTTGACTATCCATTTTCGACATGTTTATTTCACATTGTATATCTCATCAAATACAAGAAATATTGAAACAAGAACTGTAAATAGCTAGAGCTTTTGCAATTAGTTTTTCCACATAAATATGAATTCCAAAGATATTTTTATGTTTATATAGAATAAGTTACCTAAGTTGAAGTTTTTCTCATTTACAAGTTATACAATCATCTTTGGTCATCATGTTGTGGTTGCGGGACTTCTTCGACTTGTAACACATCTCGAAAAGTTAACTTTGAATCTTCGTTTTTATCGAATAAATGCATGCATTTAGCTTTTATATGGGTACAAAAATGTTCACTGATCATTAAGCTCTTCGTAAATCATCTATTGATGATATTCAACAAACATTTACAAACCTAAAATATGACCAAACAGTTTGTATTATTGATTATGTCAACGATTCTCGGTCCATATATCATGTTTATTCGATTCCATTTATATTTACTCGTTTGAAAAAGATCGTAAATCGATTTCCAACTATGGTATTTGATACTTAACTCACTTATATGCCAAAGATACGATTGCAATGGACCATGAATTCTTTATGCGAATAAGTCGAGCTTTTCCAGTGCTTAAGCTTTTCTGTATGGTAAATCTACAAGGCAGTTAAGGTGTCGTTATCCATTACTGTCTTATGCAAATCTATCTCATTCAGTTATGAATATTCTCATTTTATATCACTTAATTTCAAACATGTGTATTGGAATTATATTATGCAATTTCTAGTCAAAATAAAGACATACCTACTTTGTCTAACTGACGGTGTAGGTGTGGATGTGGATATTGCTTGATACAAGGTGAACTCACACCCAACAGAGATAGTGTTAAATATCGTAGATTATATTTGATGACAACTAATATAACACAGAGTATCAATTCAGTCTAGAGACAAGTGAATTAGCATCCGATGAACGTTACTTGTGAATGATATCCGACGGACGAATTGATTCAATCATTAGAAAACGTTCACGTTTATCGTCTTTCAAAGTATGCAACTTGACAATCTGGCGTCCCTTATGTTATATCGTGCAGTTTAGTATAGATGAATTTCTTCTGGAGTGAAAAAGGTAACACAACCAGGTGAAAAAAATGAGTAGAGAGATTATATATCTCAAGTTGTTTGCGTTAGATTGTCGGTCTTCCCACATGCTAGTCATCAATGTAAGTATCATATAGAAAGTTGATCTTGAGAACGTAGTATTTTCGATATAGTCTGACCGTCGCCATCATCGTTCTCTAAATTGAATAGCAGAGTGTTTTTGCTGTCGAAAACTGACTGAAAAATGCCATTAAATTTAACGTTCATATTTGACATAGTCGTTTTACTATTTTCTAGACCCAAATAACGATATAAGACTAACCTGTTGAATGGCAATAAGTCGAGTGGCATCCTTCAGGATTCCTATCAGTACTTCTCTCAGTCGCATTTCAAGACAAAATGAATTCAACTTGTCTGTTATATTTACGACTCGATTGGTCCATCCTACCTTTTGGTCAAAATCAAACTATTCTGTGATGATAAAACAGGTAACAATATTGTTTTTTTAAGCAAAGATTATTGACTTCGTTATTTTACATTTTTCTTACTTAACTCTACGATAGTAAGTAATATTCACAGTCGTTTCTTTGAAATGACTCTATAGTGTGTTCAGAATGCAAGAACTTAATTTAATCTAAGCAACTAGCCACGGTTGAATCGTGATATAAAATGCAGTCCTAGAATCACTCAATATATCTCGACTAGTGCATCACAATAAAGTTGGTACATGGCACATCCAAAATAAATGTGAATGTACTCGACCATAATCCCTATCCCGATTATCTTGTTCATAAATCAATTGATCAAAGGAAGTCTACCTTATTGTATAAAGTCTCATAGATTATATAATGAACTCTTTAATTTTAAGATTATTTGAAAAAGATCGTTGAAAATTGCTTGAAAGAAATTATGTGCGGCGAATAGGTTAAATACTTATTGAATTCAGAAATCTATTGAAACTAACGTTCTCTATAGAGACCGTGCAGTAGTGAGATTTCCTTATGTTTACGGAGCTTTGTTTGTTTGAGATAGAATTGCGAATGCATCATCATTATCGTGTTCTGAATCCATTCATATTCATATCCGACAGTGGATCCTGTCTGTACATTCCTAATTCAAAGACGTTTGACTAACAACCAGTAGAATTTTTCTACAAAAAATCCCACTGAAGACAACTTGTAAAAGAAATTCCAATCTGTCATCATTTACTGGTCCAGAAAATCCCAATAAAAGTCATTTTTTTTTCAATCTACCACTCATCATAATCTTAGGACTAGTGTGGAATAAGTATTTATTAAAGAATTGCCATTCTAATATCTGTCAGAACCAACCAAATCTGCGATCAGCGAGCTCAACAGGTTTAGTTGTAATTTGCATGAACTGACTGCTTAGTATATGAGTACTTGATGTTAGTATTTTTTTTATTAGCAACGAACCATGAGCACAACAACACGCACATCGCGCAGTCGACTAAAGTATGACGACGGTATCGATATTGACAATCAAACAGTCGAAATAGACCCCATCGAACATATTCGTCGATGTACATTGTACAAGGATATTGACATTTGGTCATATTACAAATCAATCTATCCCAGTGTGCGTACACTTGGTGATGTATTAGATCATGGTCAAACTCTTTCGAAAGACGGTCCATGTATTGGTCTTGTTCAATCGGAAAATAAGACAGAACCTATTCGCTGGTTGTCTTATTCAATGGTATCAGAAAGAGCACGTTACATTGGTTCTTATTTATGGACAGAAACAAAACTGATTCCTATGAATTCGAAAGTAGCCATAATGTCAGTCAATAGACCAGAATATGCCATTGTGGAATATGGTTGTTACATGTATGGTTTTATTGTGGTTGGTCTCTTCACAAGTTACGATTCAATAACAGTAATGGATTCACTCCGAAGGACCCAATCAGAAATATTGGTTGTCGATAATTTGACACGCATTCGATCATTCGAAAAGCAATTGCTCGAAAATAACCAAATCAAAGAAATTATTGTTATGGACGAAGTACAAGATGGTGAACATAGAAAAATCCGAAGTTTTTCATCTATTTTAAAGGCAATGAATAAGAGCAATGTACGCCCACGGCCTACCATTGATCCAAACAGTATCTCTACATTTCTTTTGACAAGCGGAACAACCGGTGAGAAATATTATTGTCTCTTCTTGTTTTCAAATAGATCATGAAACTCAATCGATAGAATTGATCTGATCAGTTTCACTTTGAAAACGGAGTTGTTTTTCTAGAAAAGTAGTTGATTTTTGTCTGACTCTACGAGATAACTGTGAAAAGTTCATTTGACATAACGGTCTAAACTCGTCTTGAATGCAAACAGAAATTGTATGTAAAATTAATTATGGTTTTAGTGCTCTGATCTGTAGATCATGAGAAAAACAGCTGAAAATGAATTTTGGCACGAAATAAATCACTATCCCTGCTGAAATATGAAGAACATACATCTTTCTTCGATCTCTGAGGAACACAAGCAGTTTGTAATTGATATTATCTAAAACACAGATTCGTATCGTTGATTTCGAAACTCTTCGAAAAATGTTAAGAAATTCAATGTTAAATTTCAAGAATACTTTGTTGAATATTTTTATCTTGCATCTGGAGACTGACAAATTACATAGAAAACCTATCTAACATCTATTGTAGGTGACCCGAAGATTGCGATGTTAACTCACGACAACTTCATGACAGGATTGAAATCTATAGCTGATCGTGAAGGACGAGCCGATATCTTAATGAACTACAGAGATCGACATTGTTCGTTTTTGCCCATGGCTCATCTCTATGAACAGGCTGCATTATTGCTTATGCTTGGTCATGGTTGTCAAATCGTTTTCTGTCCAACTCCTGACAAACTCTTTGAATACTATACATTAGTGAAACCTACTCGTATTTATATGGTGCCTCGCATTTTGAATAAGATATACGATAAAGTTATGAGTGAAGTTGATAAAAATAAATTGAAACGATTTCTTGTCGAACAAGCATTGCTCAAAGACAAATCATCGCTTCTCTCGCGTATTATTTTTCGAAAAGTGAAACAAATTTTTGGTGGTGAAGTGACAGCAATGTTATCTGCATCGGCACCGATTTCACGTGATGTATTACATTTTTTTTTGTATTGCACTCGATATTCCAATCTATGAACTTTTCGGACAAACAGAATCAACTGGTGTGGCAACGACTACACGCATAATTGACAAGTCACGTGGGGAACAGTTGGCACATCCTTGTGCACAGTCGAAATCAAATTAATCGATGTACCTGGAACGAATTATAGAAGTGAAAATAATCAAGATGAAATCTGTATTCGCGGACCTAGTGTTTTTAAAGGCAAATTCTATTTTATCGGAAGTGGCTTTTCTGATCTTCAAGGCTCTGGATAATTGACTGAGTAAATAGTATTAGATGATTCAAATGAATCTTTTTTCCTCTATGCTCAATAGATTATACATAAGTACGTGCAGTATATCTGCCAAAAATTTCAAACCATAGATAGTTTTCATATTCAGAATCAGTGTCAAACATTTTCATGTACTTCTAACTTTGAAATTTTGAAATTTTCTTTGGCCAGATTATCATGATGATGAGACAAAAACACGGGAAACAATAGACGAAGCGAGCTGGTCACATACCGATGATGTTGGTGAATGGACAGTTAATGGTACATTGCAGCTCATTGATTGTAGCAAACACATTTTTAAATTGAATCAAGGCGAATATATTGCACCTGAACATCTAGAAGACGTTTATCTTCATTCTCGATGGATTTCACAAATCTTTATCGATGGTTGTTCAACGGAAGCAACAGTAGTGGCCATTGTTGTACCAAATGAAGAGTATGTACGAAAGAATTTTACTTCGACAGNTTTTGTACTGAACCCTTAAGGTTTCGTATTTTCTCACTGAACCTTTTTTTCCTGTACAGAACTTAAAAAAAGGTTCTGCAAGAGATGGTTCTGCTAGTGGGTACTACACAGAACCTTCAAAAGGTTCTGTCGAATTTTTTATCCTTTTTTTGAGACTTTCGACACATTTGGATGCTTTTAGAAATCTACAGAACCTTTTCGAGGGGTTCGGCAAACCTCCTTTTTTTTAGAGAGTAGTGGCATCCTGTAAGCAATAGAATAGCATATATCATAAAGTATCATCATTGATTCTCATGAAACTAATCATTTTATTGAGCATCCCAGAATTTTATGTTGAAGCAGTATAAATAGAAGGTACTTTTGTCCTATAAATAATATACTACAGTTCCATAAAGTAATACTAAAGAAGACACAATAGCAATAATTGTTGTTACTAATCAAATTTATACGTTATTATCACTAGTTTTCATATTTTGAAACTTTTCTATATTGTTTACATTTAAAGCTTGAAAATTTCGAAAAGTATAAAATATTCTTGAAAAGTTGAAGTTTGTTTTTAATAGTTTCAATATATAAACAAGATCCTGTGAATGATCTGTGACACATTTTTCGTAAAGATTATTTAACAAAAACTATGTCATAAGTTTTGCTTTTGCCATTGGATAGATTGAAATCAATTGAAACTTAGTCGTGAAAACCTTCTTCGTCTCTTTCGAAATTTTAGTAAATCTTACACAGTCAATTTGATACTGTCCAATAAGATGTGATGTTGATGGTGAAAGTACTTTCATCATTGAATACGATTGATGAGTTGCATTTTACATTTGAATCTACAGTCACATCCGACCCAGAACATAACTTTAACTAGTTTATTAGTCTTCATCTTTTATTTTACGAAAAAATAAAGTGTTTTAAAATAAAATTCGAAGTGATTTATGTGATCTCTCGTGAAACTCAACAGCTGTAATAAAATTAGCAACCCTTGAAACAGCACCATTGAGGATCATTCATTGTAGAATAGCTGCATCCACCCCAAGCAGCACAGTATCCTGTGGAAAAGTCAGAATTACAGCCATAAGGATAATTTCCACGACATTTTCCATCACAAGGAGCTGATATAGTTGCTACTGTAACTGTTGTAGATGCATCTGCTGGTACAGTTGTCAAAACTAATGGATTGGTGACAGTTGATTGTTGATCACAACCCTTGAAACAACACCAATTCGGATCAGTAGTAATAGAATATGTACATCCACCTCCTGCGTTGCAATATCCTACTTGAAAACCAGCATTACAACCATGTGGATATTTACCTTTGCATTTACTATCACAGTTGGATGTTACAGCTGCTGTCGTACTAGATACGATCGTACTAGAGCCTATTCCAGCTGAACACTTTAAACCTGATATAATTCCAGATTTATGAATTCGTTGTGTTCCTGTTTTTAAGAAACATACACCAGCCAAAACCCATGAGTTACAGACTGCGTTCGCCTGGCATGCATCACAACAAGTCTTTGGATTTGAAGTTTGAATAACCTCAAGGTTTCCACCAGCAATATCAGTATCCATGAAAAAATAGCATCCATTAAAGCACGTGGGTTCTGGTTCTAGAAGTGGAGGTGGCGGCGTTGGTGTATCACATCTATCGCCATACCAACCCTCAATACAAACACATGGTTTATTTGTAACAGGCAAATGTTGTCCAAGATATCGAGCAGCACAGTTTCCATGAACACAACCAGCAGCAGCACAAGTGTCAATATTGCAATTCGAACCAGAAAATCCAGGATTACACAAGCATTCTCCTGTTGCACAATCACAATATCCATTAGTACAACCATTCGAACATTTGTCAGAACAATACTCAACATTACTTAATTTTGGTTGAGATCTACAGTTAACAGGTGGCATGTCAGGAAAGGACGTGCAAGCACCTCTTCCTTTTACTGTTAGATAATTATCTCCAGACCAAATGTATCTGAAGGAAAATATTATTAGAAAGATTTGAAAGAAAAAATTCATTTGCAGAAAAATTACCTTCGATCATGTTGAGAGTGAACTGGATACGAACAATTTCTACCGACAACAAATAAAGCAATCTCGTCTCTCTTCCAACGATTTCCAAATATAGGATCGGAAAATTCAATAATCCAATCAGGAGGTACATCTCCTCCACCAGTCATTGATAATTTATACTTATGATCCAGACCAGGAATAACAGTAGCACTGTAACCTTGTTTTCTGTCTCCAATTTGAAAAAAATTCAAAGTTACAGAGCTTATAAGATTATCATACTGCCACAGCTCCAATTGCATAGTTCGGTGGTTTGTAGAACTTTGACCAAATGAGAATATCTAAAGCATTTGAAAACAATATAGGATAAACTTATGAAATATGCAAAACTCAATGGTACCTCAAGTCGTCGAACGGATCTTTTACAAAAAATAGCTCCTGAAAATTAAAATTAGCTAAGCTTAAAAATTAATTTTCAACATACCACCATCATATTTTCTCGCAAACTTAACAGTATCTTGACCTAAAAGTCTGGCAACATCATTCGAACTAAAACAAGATGTACCATTATCCAATGCTAAAAGATAAGACCTTCAACAAAGAAAAAATTAATTAAGAGGCTCCTTGAAACGGAAAAGAAAAGGATCCTACCAATATGAATGAGCAATCGAGCAAAATCCAGCTGGAAATAGCTTATTTCCAGTCAAGTTTTGTTCCTCATCAGGTCCAAGTGTAAACATGGCTCCATTGTTTGGTCCCCACTTTAAGAGTGAAAATTCATCAGAAATAACACCCGTCCATTTCATATTGACGAAAACATAAGTTGGCATACATAGTACTTAAGATGAAATTTTACATTAGAAAATTAATTACTAAGACCTCTAAAGAACATCGTTTACCTCCAGTTACTCAAATTTGACAATGATGACTTGACTCAAAATGAACCTGGTTATTGAAAACCATGTTTTCCAAAATGAACGCTCCATGACCACCAGGCAAAGCTAAATTGCCTGAACCATAGAACGAGTCAGCAATATGAGAGGAGCAACCGTCTTGAAAATTTTTTGTTTCTTTCCAGTAAATTAAATTGTTGTTTTCAATGCTTGTATGGAATCGATACTGTAAATCACCAGCATTGTATTGACCTACAAATACGTTGCCATAATCTATATTATGCATGAATGTTGCTGGCAATCCATTGTCTTCACCATTCGTAGTCCATTCTCGACATGTGCTTAAAGTTGGTAAACCATTTTTATCAACCGACCTGTCGGTCTTTTTTGGAAAGACATTTGCAAGTACATATGTACCAAATCTTCCACAACCATGAAAAGTGTTTCCTTCTAATCTTCCTATTCGCTGAAAACTCAAGCATTCCAAACCACTTAGTTGACCTCGACCACTCTCGAAACCTTGCTCTTGATACAACATGCCATTATAATTATTAGCAAAACGATTTCCAATAGCATAATTAGTAAAGCTTAAACCCCATAAACCGGCTTGATTTAACGTAGTATCAGATTGATCATTGTCCGTACCTTTACAGACAAGAATCAAAAAGAAATAAGACTATAGAAATTTCAAAACTCAAAACCCACCTGGTATAGTACATCCTCTTTTTTCTCCAGACTTTGCCCAGGGACATATTCCGACATTATAAAATATTCTATTATACATTTCATTTCCATCTTCAATATATATGGTTGCACCACGAATGTCATTGTAAACATTATTCTCTATGGTCGCTAAATGTGTTCCATGAATGGTGGTACCTCGTTGATGACCATACTCAATAGCATTACCAATGATTTTGCAATCAGGGCATTTGTTAATTAAATGTTAGTGTACACAGTATTTTCCTAGAATACCACGTTGGCCACACTTCTCAATTCTTGTGTATTGTAAAGATAGAATAGAACCGGGTCCAATTGCAATTGTATGCAATCCAAGAGTGCATTTATTTCGATTAATATTTGTCCAACATGAACAATGATCGGCTTGAGCACTATCGCTTGGTTTGCCGCTAGCTACATCGTTCACGCAATTAACATGTTGAAAATCGTCTCCGGTAATGATAATATTTCGCGAAAGATTAATAATTTCAGCTTGCATGAGAGCAGTCATATTTTCTCCTGTAAAAAGGGCCTTTGATTCGAAAATTGATGATATAATACCACTAGAAGTTCCATCTTTATTAAGTAATTTTATAGTATTATTAGCTTCAAATCCACCAATCGTGTAATCTTCAGCATTTCCTCTTGAACTAGTCATAGTCGGAGCTATAACGATTCTATCACCAACTCTCCAGCCCTCAATTATAAAACATCATTACAAAATAATAAAAAAGAAATACACAAAAATTCTCCACCAACCATATCCTCAGGTTTATGCAAGAGACTAATTGAACTCATACCATATGTACCTCGATTGGCTAGTAGAGACCACGTTCTAGCAAGAGGACGACCACTAACATGTATTTTACCGGCATTATACGCACTAAAAGCACGAGTATAAATCGTAGTATGCTTGAGGCCATTATTTTTAATGTAAATATAACCTTGTTTACTCGTTAGATTCATATTGAATTGTCCACCATTGACCTGTAAAGACAAATACTCAATATCTCAATATCTGGTTAAATTATACAAAAAATATCCTACAGCAATATAACCAGCACACAACCATTGATCACTCGAAGTTTGACTGATATCGTTCCAAGTTAATGAACCGCTCAAAACTAAAGCAGCAATATTCAAATTACTATTCATTGTGACTGTAAAGTCGGCTGGTATGGTGCATATCGTTTCGGTACCACAGAATATTTGTAAATTCGATGATAACATTGAAGTTGTTATTGACTTAACTGTTGTCGCTGTAACTTGATTTTGGTTCTTGCATGCAGCTGCTAACCCTTGAGGAAGCGGTACAGAATAAGAATCTTTTATTAAAGTGCTGAAAGCATCAATGTATGATGTTTCATCTTGTTGAGAAAAAGCTTATAGACTCATTTTTAAAGCGTAAACTATTCTCATATTCTCTTAACTTTGCAAAATATATTCAAGTTGTCGACTGGAAAAGCGAAAATGCATGTATATTTTTTATGGTGCTTTGTTTTCTTACTCAGGAGTCTGGCAAAATTTCTTAAAGTTTCGGAGCTAGCTTCGCAGATGTGAAAAAATATTTCTGTATACTTATTACAATTTTTGTTTACTCTTTTGGTACTATAGGTTTCTTACAATATCTTCTTGGTTTCAGGATATACTGATTACTTTTCCAAACAGAGAACAAATTTGTCTTAGGATAGTTCGTGACTAGCAAAATTGATATCTTAGAATGCTCAAAATTCATTCAGGCATTTTGGAGAATCGTTTACACATTCAGATCTATAGAAATGGTTTCCGAAAACGGATCTGTTTTACAGTGTAGATTTACAAAACGGAAATTCACATATTTATCATAGACAAATTTTCCTATAAAGATTTGATTTTTTCTACCGAGGTTTTATAATAGGTTCATATACATAATATTTTTCTTGCTAATTGCAGATGAGTAAATATATTTTGGTATTTTTAATATCAATCCTTTTGGAACTCTTTTTCGTTCCACAATGTTTAACGCAAACAAATGACGTGTTTGAAGCTTTTTCTCAACAAGATGAAACATCATACATTGATGCTTTCAGCACTTTAATAAAAGATTCTTATTCTGTACCGCTTCCTCAAGGGTTAGCAGCTGCATGCAAGAACCAAAATCAAGTTACAGCGACAACAGTTAAGTCAATAACAACTTCAATGTTATCATCGAATTTACAAATATTCTGTGGTACCGAAACGATATGNATCACACACATTAACACCCACATCCACGCCCACACCCACACCCACACCCACCCACACCCACACCCCACACCCACACCCACACCCTTTAAGAGAACAACTTCAAGAACTTCGATGTTCATCACTTATTCATCTTTATCGTAGTCAATTGATGTCTGCAGCAGAATTGATATTATTACAAAATTCTATAGGACAGTTAATTTCGATAAATTCATTTTTATCAACAACTAAAAGTCGTCATTTAGCTCTATTCTTTTTGAGTGATCCAGAACTTGCTGGGGAGAAACCTTTTGCTGATATCACTAGTAGAAGTTGTTTTTTCAATGAAGAAGAAGTTCTTATTATGTTTGGTTCAATATTTCAAATTGTAAATATTGTTCGTGAAATAAATGAAATTCCGATTGTTAAAATAGAATTGTGCACAAATGATAACAAAGCTTTTAGTACAATATTAGAGCATTTAAAAAATGAATATGCTGGAGATGATGGTGAAACAGATTTTATTTATGTTGGTCAAGATATTCGTCAAATGGGATGCTCAAGTACAGCTGAAAAATATTTTCATCGTTATCTAAGTTCATTAGGTAATGAAGATATTTATTTAAGTACTTATTATTACAACCTTGCTGTGGTGGCCAATAACAAGGGTGATTATCATTTAAGTCTTGATCTTCATCTCAAATCTCTTCAAATTAGAATACGAACTTTAGAACCTAATCATCTTAATCTTGCAGAGAGTTACAATGGTTAAGGGAATGTTTATCGAGAATTATGCCAACATGCAAAAGGACATAAATTTTATACACAAGCATTGGGAATTCAGAAGAATCTACTCGATGATAACAATTACAAAGTTGCTGTTACATATAAAAATATAGGGATTGTGTATTCTCTTGAATTTCATACAAAAGCATTATCGATTCGTTAAAGTCAAGTGTCAGATAATCATCCTGATTTAGCTGATTCACATGATCATATAGCTATTGTTTACTGTTTTCTTCGTCAATATGATAAAGGATTAGAACATTTGAATGAATCACTTCGAATTTTTCATATTTCTCTTCCACCAAAACATCCATCAATTGCAAGAGTATACAAAGATATAGGTTACATATATGAAAAGAAGCATGATTATCGAAAAGCGATTTCAAATTATAAGCAAGCAAGAACTATTTATCGTGAAACATTACCAGCTATACATCACATATTTGAAGATCTCAATAAAATCATTGTTCGCATTGAAACTAAACTCAAGTATAAACCCTTTACATGGATGTAAAACGAAGTTGAAAATGACAGAACAAAATATTCAATGGTACTGCTGTTGTTTTTGTTTATAGATTGGTGTGGGTGTGGACATGAGTTTTCTTGCTATCCACATTTGCACCCTCTAGAAGTTTTCTTCCGTTTATGACTTTCTAGATAATTCAAATAAACATATGAAAATTTTAGCATTAATTGCTTTAGTAAATAATAAAAAGGAGAGCACGTAAATTACATATATAAAGAAAATTCAACGTAGAGTATAATAGCAAATAAAACTAAGAGTGTTTCTACCTTTGTTTATGAATAAGCACATTCAGGTGTCTAATGAGAAGTATGCTAATCCCAAATGCAAATACAAAATAAGTATCAAACAAAATCTGAACTGCAAAATCTTCCACCCGAAGGAACATCGTTTTCGTAACACTTGAATTTCAAATCAAATTGTGATGTTAGAGATATGAATGAAGATTTAACAGCAGCTTCAGTCCATCCAGAACGATCTAAATGGAATACTTCACCTACTAAACTAAACTGATTTTTAGTAAATCGTTGTAATGGATGCAATGCCCAACCAATAATTTGTTTATTGCTAACTATACTGTTTGATTTTTGAAAATGCCAAGCACCCGACCATATTTGAGTGAATACTTTCGTTGGTCGTGGTATTTGAACATCAATGAAAATTGAGCGCAATCCCCTTAAAATTTCTTGTATCAAATTCTCTTGTGATGGTCTTGCAATAAGTGCCGACCAAGTTTCAACACATAAACCGTCATCATAAACAGCTCTTGTTAAATTTTGATGTTTTTCATGTGGGCGTCGAGAAGTTATTTCAATAAAACTAATACAATTTTGTCTTGTCCATGCTAAATCAATATCTGTCCCAAACAATGTACTATCTTCCCACCATCGATTAGGCCAATAACAATGTATTGTGACTACTTTAATTGGTTTAATTGATTGAAAATTCTCATGTGATTTTATATCATGTGCAATTGAACCATGAATATTTTTCCAGCCAGTCGAATCGATTGCTGCAATTAATTGTTTAGCACGAATGCGATATCGAGATGTTTCAATAGAAAATACATAAGAACCACCATTGGAATAATCGTCAATGCTGAGAACTTCTTCATTTAAATATAATTGAGCTTGATTCACCTTTGTCGCAATATACATCATTCTTTTTGCTAACTGTGACATTCCTTGATGAGGATAATAGAGACTGCCAGTTAAATTCCATTCTTGGTCTATACACTCCATATATGCGTAGGCATTTACATTTTCGAAATCAGCACGAAATCTACTTGAATCTCGTAGAAATTCGGTTGCTTCATCACCATGAATAGAACGACAGAATGCATTGAAATCAGCAAAGTTGTATAAATTCGATGCATTTCTATGATATTCTTCCATTAATTTATTCCATAATTGATCGACAGAATTTAATCCATTAGAATTATCAGTACATGTTAAGTTTATGTAAGATGTAGAGCACATTTGATTTATTGAAGTATGGAATAATCCTCGTGCTTTAATAACGCTTCTTCGATAATCATATGAATAATAGGAAATATTTAGTTCATCTGCTAATTGTTTAATAACAGCTTGACCTAGATAAAATCGTTGTGCGCCTTGAGAAGAAATTGAAGTATTCGCATAAGCTTCTGTTGAATTTCCATCATAATCACGATCATAAGTTCGCCCTCCAACGTAATTATTACGTTCAAATATGCATATTTTTTTATTAATTGTTGAAGAAAGTCGATATGCATGATGAGATCCACCAATACCAGCACCTAATATTACTATCGGGCAAAATAAACTATAAGAAAAATATGATTTTTGTACTTGATGTTATCGCTGTTAAAGGTGACAAATTTCATAAACATTCAAAGCTTAAGAAATCGTTTTGGGCTCAAGAAACTAGTGAAAAAAAAAGGTTTCAACATAACCCACCCGAAGTTCAGAATAAGTGCTGAAGTAGCCAATGAAAGAAGTGAACTGTTCAGTCTCCTGAAAAATTGTGATAGCTCGATCAATGACGCTTTAACTCATTTTTGACATGATGTATCCATCGTTTTTTACATTTTAATTTCACATATGGATCGTGTTGAAAGCTTTTCTCTTATATATTTTAATCTTTATTCGTATTTGTATTTCACATAGACCTAACGCTCAAATAATGTTTCATGATTCGTGAAAATACCTTGATTTTTCTGAATATTTGATTTTCTTTTTTTCACCGAACAGTAATTGTTGAATGTGATCCGGTTCCTGATCTAACAATTGAAGATTAGTTAAATTGATTAGACCTAATAATAATAATAGCATCAAATAAAGCCACGCCTTTGTATTATCATAATAATAATAATAAGAATTGTTATGATTAATTATCATTGTTATAGAAATAATTGAAAATTATTTTTCTCATAAAACTTTTGACCAATATCGTGCCACTTATTCTTCTTTAAAAAGTACTGACACACTTTGAAAAACGTCGCGAACTTTCGTGTTTGAATAACCTTAGTTGAAGTAAGTTCTCGATTCTACTGATCATTTGCCATATAGTTCCAGAAATATTTTACAATATTAATGTACTGTACCAACTCTCCAATAGCAAAACAATCTGTCAATATGCTAATATCAATAATATTTCCGAAGATGCCTGACAACTCCAAAGTTCTGCTATAGAAAAAATAATAAATATTTATTGCCTTTCATTGTCGATAAAAGCAGCACCCTGTAAGACGCCATCAGGCATCATAATAGATATAAATCTTAGCATCTTCATAAACTCTGTGTGAAATATATCGAATCTATTCAAATTCACATTAATTGAATGTGTGCAATTTGATGAAGTCATTTCAATAAAATAAAAATAAAATTATTGCGCCACCTTTGTAACATCCTCTAGAAAAAAGAATAATTAGTCGAGTTTTTGTTACGAACTTGAAAAAATATTATTGATTGTATTTTAGAAAAGAAATGTTGATGCATTGATGAAATCATCTACGGTACAAATTCGATAAAGCATTTATATTTCTACAATATATCCTTTATAGTTTCACGGTATAACATTTATGTTTTATTTTATCCTAGATCATCGTAGATACTGAAATTGACACACCACATAGTTAATTGCCAACGGTAACATTGCTCTTATCTCCTATGTTCGGTCGAGATCGAATTGCGATGCAGTTGCACTGAGCTTTGTCTTCAAGTGAGCTTGGGATTAGCTCAATAACGAGTATTTTTTCTAGTAAATGCTTCTGTATATACAAGGGGAAAGGTTAGATTCCACCATATATACAGTATACTACTTATTCGTCGTTTAGACAATGGAAGTCTACGGTAGAGAAATCAACTTCTGTCTCACGTAGAATTTGTAGATATTTTATAGTAACATCTTTGTCAGACAATGTAGGTGTGGGTCCTAACCCTCTATTTTGTGACATCCACAACCATAACTCAACAGTCGACATAGGTACTCAAGACATCGATACGGTTCACGTTACATAATAACAGTGAAATCCGGCTAATGCGGATCTACTGACCGCATCGATGCACTCAGGTCTAATTGCAGTAGATCATTTCCGATAAGGAAAACAGGCTAACAGTGACAATGCAGCTAACGCCAAGGATTAGTTATTCTTGGGTATCGACTCGGGCTGCCATCCGCAGCTAATTACTCCGATCTTTGTAGTCATCAGCTGGATAGAAAAACACATGATTAGCTCAACTGTTTAGTTGAAAGATTCTATAAATATAACAGCTATACAGTGAAATCATCTTGTTAGCCGAGTTTTCAATATGAAAGAATCTTAATAGGTAACACCTTCCCACATCTGATTCGCTGACTTCCTGAATAAAATACTCAATTTGATAAGACCTAATCTGCCAAATCAAATCATACGCTGAGCTTCAGATCTGACGAGCCCTGGTTTTCTGAAGAGTCAAAACTGGAGAATCCTCACTTCCACCACTTTCACAAGTCTTGAACTAATAAAAAAGTACATCTGAATATACACTTCCGTGCCAACATACACCGACATTTTATCTGATTTCGTTTGGTTCTTCATTCAGTCCTTGGAAAAGTCACTTTGTAAAAGTTCCTATTTCGGACAGAAAACAAAAAAAAACTCGACAAATCATGCAAATATTTCGATGTCTCCATCGAGAAAACGTTGTATCAAAATCTAGAGAAAAATATTCCGTTGATGAAAATACATGTGTAAATTTACTAATTGAATTCTTGTCAATATACAAATATGCACAAAAACGCTTTTTATCTTCTATGACCCTCTCTTTAGGCGAGAGAATCGTTAACACAAAAATATTTTGAAACTAAACTTTCGATTCCAGTGCATCTCCTGCATAATCAACAGGAAAGTTTTAACAGAAAATAAAAGAGTCTTAAAATAAAAGCGCTCGTTGTGTACTCAAAAAGTGAGTACACTCTAGAATCGGTCAGTATGTCCGGCCGGCCGTTTACACGATAACTTTCGAAAGGAGAGTCAGATCGCGATGACATTTTTTGCACAGTTCAAGACTTGTGAAAGTGGTGGAAGTGAGGATTCTCCAGTTTTGACTCNGGTTTCCAGCGCTGTACCTTTCTCCGAGTATTCAGTATTCTTCGCATCCGAGGTACGCACGCGTCATTTTACACAACAGTCTGTTCTTTCAGTTCGTACTAGAGGTGCGAGTTGACACTAGAAAATTGCAGCCTCTAAAAAAGCGTGAAACGCTCAAGGTTGGCGTGCAAGGTGACATCGATTTAAACTTGCCAAACAATGAAGATCTTGAACTCTTATTCAAAGCGCAGGAAGGAAGATTTATAAAATCTTGCGAAGGTGTAGTTGTAACGGGTGTCATGGTTCGGAAAATAAACTTTGATCCTGCAGTGTTGCCATCGAGTTGGTGGTGGTGCAAATGGCGTACTTGGATGGAAATTCATCGTTACTACTACGATGGCATCCCGAAGCTCGAAAAGCACACAGATTAGTTTTTCTTGATTCTTTAAGATGATTCTTACTTCAACAGATGCAATACATTTGACACGACGAGTCTTATTAATGGTTCTCACTCTATTTAAGTAAATTAGAAGAAAAAACTCACTATCTAGGTGTTAGCAAAAAACTGTAGCAAAACAATTATTTGCTCTTTTGTCATTTTTTGATCGTTGATTGTTCAGAAAGCGATTTCTCACTAAAATAATCAAAGAAATAAAATTGTTTGTTACTGGCAGAACAATAAGTGCTTTCCTTCTTCGTCGCCGTCAAGTGAGGATCTGTTATTTTTTTCTTTGCTATTTCCTTATATCAACTGTCACAGCGTCTGCAGTCATGGCCGAGAGAATTCTACCCTTTTTCTCGAGTTTGTCATGAGCTACCGAGCGTTTCAACCATTTTCTTTATTAATGTTTTGGTCCAGATTTTACACTCTTATATGGCACACCAATTAGTGAAAATCGCTCATGGTTCTCACTAACCTGTAGAATGATTATAATGACTGTTGCAGAGTTTCCGTCCAATGTCAATCAGTTAAATATTATTGCCATTCCATACACCTGTTTAGAGGTGACTTTATAATATCATTTCATAGATTGTCTCAAGCATGTGTAGTAGGCTGACAGGTAGGGGTGGCACTTTAAGTTTAAAAACACTTTAATTAAAGTATAATGTTCAAGTATTACTTTACACATTAACTTTTAAAGTGATACTTTAACTTTAAATTTTATAATAATTTTCTTTTTTTTTTTTGAAATTCGTTATGTCAAATCGACATTCATATTGTGCAATAGCTAGAAATTTCCATTGATCAATTAAGATTAATTTATGTTTATCCGAATTCATCCTCATGTTCTTTAGCTATTTAGACATAGAAAGTAAGAATTAGTATTTATTAAAGTATAGAGAAAAACAGTGTCTATTGAAATACAATTATTTTTTGTTCGAAGTTTCTATTAAATTCTAGATTTTTATTGATATAGTTAATGAAAATAAATTTACATGATAATAAATCATTACAAGTATTTTTACTAATAATCTATAAACTAAGATACAGTCAGTTTCAAATTATTCGTAAATATCGTTTGATAGACTTTCGAAAAACTTGTTTGTAAGATGTTGATGGAAAAATAAATATTAGAAAAGTAACCATAGATGGAACAAATGAAATAAGATATCCAATAAGAAATAACCATGAACCACTAGGTGATGCTGTACAACTTCCTATGAAATAAATAATTAAACGTGGTAAAGCAAGAATAATTAGCGGAAATGGAGCAATTATTAACTGTTTATGTTGTAGACATTGTTCACGTAATAAATTTTTATAATTTTTTTGTTGTTGTATTATTGTTCGTTGCCGAGTTGTCGTTATAATTATAATTAAAGCTGATATTATATTTATGAAAAAAGGAACAAAAAAATAAATCATATGTATAATTAAATTGAATTTTTGAACGGTAGTTGAATAACTAACAATACACCAAATTCTTGTTTCTTCTAAATCATTATCATTCTCATTTAATAAACGTCGATGAATAGGATCATGAATTGTTGACAAAGTAATTATAAACAAAAGAATAAAAATAATATATTTCGCTATTCGTACACTTTTTTGTTGATTAAAATTAGTTCGTTTAATTGTGATTATTGTTCTTTCAATAGCAACACATGCATTTAAACATTGATTCATACTAAGACAAATTCGTAGAAGAAAATCTATTGATATACATTGTATATATAAGAATAATTCATTTGTCATATTTGTTATTCGTACAATGATAAGTATCCAAAATTTCAATGCAAAAATAATCATAAGAAGTAATGTAACGATTGATGAACTTAATAAATAGAGACCACAACTAGTTTTTCGTAGTTCTTTATTTTTAAATGTGATTATTGATAGAAGACTGTCGATTATTCCAGCTATGATCATAATCATCGTTAATGCTATACTACCTTTTACAATTGATGCTTGATGATTAATATTTCTATATGGTTGAATATAATAACCTAAGATAGAATCAAGTGAAAGTTCAAATAAATTTGAACTAAATTGACATCTTGTACCATAAAAACACATAGGACAAACACATATAGATATTTGTGGACAAATTGGAGTATTTTGTAAACAAAATGCACCATTTTCACAACTACTTTGACCAAAACAATTATATTCAATACCATGATTAAATTCAAAACAATTAGTCAAACGCTCTTGACCATAATCATAACAGAAACAAAAATGTTTATCATCGTAAAAACAAGATATAAGTAGTGAACGATTTAGACATGGTAATTGATAATATTTTATGCGACGAAGAGAATGAAGTTCCATTATAGTCTTATTAAATATTTCACTTATATGTTTACAATGATCATATGGTGTTAGTTTTCGAATAATTGTTGTTGATGGTTTATATTGATTTTGAACAATAATTAAATAATAATTTTTATTAAAAAAATCAAGAAAAGCAACATGAAATGGATATGGCCATTGAATAGTAATCGATTTTTCATTTGTAAGAATTGTTTTAAAAGTAGTACCATTTTCATGTTGACTATTATTAATCATTCGAATAAAATGAATAAACATTCTTTGTGGTAAAATAATATTATTATGAAATGATAGAATTATTTTATTATCAATTAATTCACATCTATCTCCACTAAATCCTTTTTGACAAATACACATAAACGATTTATTAGATGCAATATTTTCATCATTAAGTATACATCTACCATTGTTTTGACAAATAGAATTTTCATTCGAATAACATATTGTATTATGAAGTAAACATTGAGAACCCCATTTATCAAGTGGGCAAATACAAATTGATCGATTATTTGATGATATACCCATACATAATGAATCAGATGAACATTTACATTTATGTGAAATATTACAATATTTTCCTGACCATTCATTATAACATTGACAAAAACCATTATCATTTGGTTTATTAAAATATTTAATACATTTACCATGTATACATTGTTTATTTGAACAACTTACTTTTCTATCATTTTTACTTGGAATATTAATTTGAACAGCAATACGATCTACAGGTAAATATGGATATTTAATTGGAATCAAAAAACTATTTCGATATGTAAAGGAAATCTTTTCGTAAATATCAATATGAATAAAATAATTTTTTGTTAAATTTTTTGGTCTAGTTGAATAAAGTAAATAAATATTAAATTTAGTTTGACAATCTCGAGTATAAAGATAAGTAAATTGTTGATATGAATGAATAAATCTTTCATTTGAATCATCAATAAGTAAAATAATTAATGCAAATAATGTTCGTCTAGAATCAGAATATGTTTGAAATCGTAATGTTAGACTAACTCGTTGATTTTGATATTGACACATATTACCATAAAGACTTGGCGGACAAAGACATGCTATATTAGTTAAATTTTTTTTAATATTTAACCAAACTCGTATTGGAAGACCACGATGACAACGTTGATCATACTGTTGAAGAATTGATTGTCTAATGGATGGACTTACAATCATTGCATTTCTACGTTGCTCAGTCTTTTTATAAGTAATATTCATCAATTTATCAAGTGAAAAATAAAGTATTTCCGGTTTGTTTCTATCAATTTGACGTGCACAAAAGAAGTTTTCAACATCAGAACGAATATTTTCATAATATTCGTCACAAATATCACCATATAGCGTGATATTTCGAGTTTTATCACAAAATTGTTTATCACTTTCATCTTGACATTTATTTCCAAAACATAATTGTGTGTTACTAATACACTGTCCACCTGTGAGATTGTCGCAGTAGAAATTTGTAATGCTTTGATCATAATTATTTAATCGACATAATTTAGGTTCATCAGTACCACCAAGACAATCAATATGACCATCATTTGCTTTTTCAAGAGGTAAACACATAAATTTATTTGTATATGGTGAAACACATATATGATGATGTTTAGATGAACAATTATGTAACAATGATGATGAATAACAACCAACTTCATCAGCTCCATTAAAACAATTCCAAAAACCATCACATCGTGTATAAATATTGTTACATATCCAATATTCACATTCAGTTTCATCTGTTTCATATCTTCCATCAATTTTAACAGGTAATAACTCTATAAAACCATCGCAAATAGTTGTAAATGATATATGTTTTCTAATATAATTAACATCTAAATTTTCATCATCACAAAAATTATATTGATCATATTCACAATCACACCGTCCATCATCAATTAATGACGGAGAAATACAGATATCCGATGTTGTACATTTTAAAAAATCATTGAATCCATATAATAAACAAGAACCATTTATTTGTGTGCATTCTTCATCATCATTGTAATCACAATCTATAATACCATCACAAAGTCGATGTTTTGAGATACATTTTGATGAATTTCGACATTTATACATGGTTAAAATGTTACAATTTATAGATTCATTAGAATGAATCTTATTGCATTGTGAAAGATCTTTAAATATTGGAAAGACAAACAAACTAAACCAATTACCTCTACTGGTTGCAAAAGAGTTAAACTTTAATGGAAAATCTATGGGTCGACGACATGTTGCATTATTAAATTGAATTAATGATTTATTTGGATTGAGTCTATCACAAAGTTTATCATTGTAACATATATAACTAGGTGGTATTAATCGACTAGTAGAATAAATCATATCATTTTTAGTATAAATAAAGAATATATGACCAAAAGCAATTATATTTGCTGGTACTTGTAATATATCTGGACATGTTTCATTAATTATTTCGATATATGTTTTTGTAGAATTCCGAATATGACATTGTGGATCTAGTCGATCATAAATTCTTAATTGACATTTAGCTGCTATCCAACAATCATTGGATACTTCGATTGTGTTATCATTGAGCAGTAATTCTTCAAGTATTTTGCTACGTTTATGAATACATGAACTCGTTAATTTGGCATTAAATGAATTATGGCGTTTTGGACATATTATATCTTCCATAGTAAATGTTGGTTCACCGGAAATATCGAAAGAGAGAAAATTATTTTTTCTCATACCTTTCCAAATTTCATCTGTTCGATCAAGACATTCAGAACTATTCGAATCATCACGAAAAAATATTTTTGATATACATTGTCCATTAGCACATTGATATTCATTTTCTTCACAGTCGTTAAATTGAATATGTTCACATGATACTTCATCAATTCCATTGTAACAATCAATAATTCCATCACAAATTTCAGTCCAATCAAGACACATTGATATTGAACCTCGATTACATTCTAAATGAATGTAACATGTTAAATTTATAGGATCATATAAATTCTGATAAAATTTATAAATAATTTCATTTAATGATAAATCATTAGATACATTAATATCTAATGAATATTGACATAATGGACCAAATCTTGGTAATGTACAATTATAGAACAATTGTGTTGTTATGAAAGATGATTGATTTAAATTTGAAAAATGATTTAAATAGAATTGATAACGTTCAACAATATCCATAGGTGCTGACCAATTATATAATTGTTGACTAGTTATATTTTGTTGATAAAGTTGATAAAAAGTTAATTTTTGATCAAAATTATTTTCTTCAATATTCCATTGTGATGAATATTCAGTTAAACAATAAGAAAGAACTTGATGAATATTTTGTTTTTCAGTAGAAGCAAGAACATAAAGACAATCATGTTGAAATACAATATCACTTCTATTATGATTTACTTCATCAGTAAGATGAAGATTAATTTGAGGTGAACTAATTACAAAATTTAATAGAATAATATAGAGAAATATGTTGACGACAAACATCTTTCACATATATAATCAGTAATTCTAAATGAATACAATGCAAAGAGTTTTATAAGTTATATATATAAGTATATCTATTTCGAGAAACGTTGATGTAGAATGTTTTTCTAGAAAAAATCATAGTTGATATTGCTAAGAGCAGTTTGTTCCTATATAAAATTTTCAAATATTTAATATCTGTAGAATATTAGTATGTCATAATTAACATCTGCCATCATTTTATATGAAAACATATTCTAGAAAGGAACTGAATATATTGTTTGAACTAGCTTTTCTTGCTGAAATTGCTTGGACAAATAAAAGATTTAACTAAGCTTGTTATTCAATGACTCTATCGTTAAAATTATTCTTATTCTAATATTTAATGAAATAAATTGACAAAATAATTGAAAGCGATTAGATTTGTTTAAATGAAAAATCAAAAATATGTTTTCTTTTTTTTTTTCATCAAAAGAATTAGTACATCAATTGAGAGGCTTATGACGTTGTATTTATTTTGTCATATATTTAGTGAAAGAGAAAAACAAAAACATATGTATCAAAGTTAATGATTAACAATTTTACAAAGAGAATTAGTAAGACATATGTGTCAAAACGCAGAAGAGAAATAGATAACAAAGCAATTATTTTTTTAATATATATCTCAAGCATTTTTTTAAAATTTGATCTAAAATGGAAGTTTAAAATTTAAAAAAAATATAATTATAAATATCATCTAATTCTACACAATTTTTGTTTATGTATGACGAAACAAAACATTTCTTTAACACATTCACCACGATGTGGCCCACAGGTGGACCACGCTATATTTTAAGAAGGAACTGTATAGAAAAACACCTTTTTTTGCTTTTTTCTTAGGCAGGAAGTTAAACGATATATGTCATACACCTTACCGTCAACATCTTTTGAGTTCTTTGTTCCGTAACATGATGCTTCTTGTTAAAACATTCAAGACAAAAAAACTTAATCAAAGTCAGCACATAAAGTTTTTACTTTCTTTGCTGCTGTATAGCTCGATTCTCTTGATTTTTACTTCCTGGCTTGTTCATAGCAACCAGTTCAGCGTCTGCGAACGTTGTGCGCAGATCCTTTTATTTCCTCTAACCTGTGGTCAGAGAGTTTCCGCTTCATTTGTCCTAGGAAAAAACTGGACAAAATTTCGCTCTGACTCATGATACGTCATAATATGAGGAAGAGAACGGTGAATCATCTGTAGACGATAGTGAAAATGTTGCTCCGTGTATTTATTAGAAGTTAGGTATTGACAAGAATAGGTATTTCGAAGACTTTCCCCAAGAAAACTGAATCGTGGTGAATGTGTTAATATACGAAAAAAATGTCAGTAAACAACGCTTTAGTAAATTAANTTCTTTTCACCCTTTTTCGTGATGGAGAGGGCTAAAATTTCTATCATATATATATCTAATCAAGATCTTGTATCTGTGAAAGTTTCAACTCTCCAATTATAACTACTGATGAAATACATAAATTTTGGTACCCGATTTTTGTGCTAATTTCACAAAACAGTGGAAAAATCGAATACTGAATTTTATGTATTTCATCAGTAGTTATAATTGGAGAGTTGAAACTTTCACAGATACAAGATCTTGATTAGATATATATATGATAAAAATTTTAGCCCTCTCCATCACGAAAAAGTGTGAAAAATATCATTAACTATTTATCATCACTTATTATTAGAAACCTGATTGTTGGTTGATTTCGAAAAATTTATCATTATATTCTTATGATTGTATTTTTATTATAACAAGAGAAGATGTCTTTGAATTGTATGTCATTTGAAAGGCTGTCATGAGCACTTAAAGTTCATATAAAATACATTCGGTTAGAGATTTTTTTTGTTTGCAGATAAACTAACTTGTCGCGCCTCAAAACTCATGAAACACCCTGTAATGTGTGAGATATTTGACCAATATCGAACAGAAAAATTCAATTATATATAAAAGAAACGACAATTCGATGATCATTCTGCGTATTTTCCTAGTCTGGCAGTCACATGATGATTGCTTTTCCAGTAGCACCTTAAAAAAGCATAATACTTCATCAATGCTAAGAACACCGTATTTCTTGTCTTGAGACAGTCACACCATTGAATCATTAGTTCATTTACATCCTTTGCGAAGAACAAATCGATATTGTCGATGAATCTCATAACTATAGAAATTGTTCCAATGACATATATTTTCTCTCGTCAATTGCTGTCTCTCAAGACGCAGCGAGAATTACATTGCCGTCCAGTGGCCAAATGATAGTACACTCGAGCAAGGCATCAGCCATCGTTTCAGCAGCCTGCCGCGCCAAAGTACCAATAATTAAATCACTAGACACAACCCTCAGAAAAAAAACATAAAAATAAGAGAAACTAAAGATTGATTTTCAGAACGCATCAAGACGTTCAACTTAGCATCGAGCACCTGAAAGGTTTCACTTTTCAAACGCCGTGTAAAATTATGAGATCGATCGTATAGAGTCAGTAATTGACTTCAATAGTAGTTGGTTGACCACTCTCGATATCCTGGTGGCGTCAAGATATAGTCCATGTTCTTGAGTACTACATCAATTTCGTTAGTGATTAGAAATCGTGTGCATCCGAGAAGACGGTTTTAACAAGCCGGCTAGAATGAGAACTTCGTTGATTGCATTCCGATCCAAATACAGGATAGATGATTTTCCATATGCCACATGAAATCAGCATTCATATTCACTAACAGTTTGCAGACAATATTTCACAGGATCATGCAACAAGAATATTATATAAGTCCATCGGTAACAGAACCTTTTTGGCCCGATAAACATTGCTGTTCTCACATACGGCTGCAACAATATTGATCATTTCTTGGTCGTGCATTTGGCTGCAGCTGATGCAAGCTGTGACTGTGGTCAAAAGGCTAGCCTGACTTTGAATACTTTTGCTCAATTGTTTGAACTCTCACTATATACTGACTAATCACATGCTAGCCAGAGGGAACGCCGTCAGGATACTACCAAACGGGGCGTCAAAGATAAGCAGCCGTTAGCTACTTGTTCGAATCCAACTAGAAAAGAAAACTCCGCGTAACTTCTGAAAAAAAACGATTTGAACAGAAAGCAGTCATTGGCGTTGAACACGCATTCAAACATATGAAAACGGAGTGAGATCTGTGAGAACCCTATTTCTTGGCGTAAAACCTACTATTTTATCGCTGTTGAATTTAATATTAGAGAAAAACTTTTTTTTATTTTGCTTTTTTCCTATTATTAAATTTGACGACAATGCAATAGTCGTTTTTAAGTTTAAAATATTATTTTTACAACTCTCATCAGCTTTTCGATATGCTTGGATGTGTGTTCAACACGATTGACTGTTTTTGTTTTCAAAATTGTTCTTTTTATTTCACAAAAATGCTTTTTTACAAGTGGCGTTTGGGTTTTTGTATGCTTGGGTTAGTCCATCTGATACATCCTGGAAGGTCGAATACGGTGTCTTGAGGGCATGTGCCGATCTTGTGCGCATGTGATATCACAGAGGAGTGGCTCAGCATGTTAATATGGTTTAGAATTTGTCTCTCTTCTCTCTACATTCTTTCATAAAGTCCCTTCAACGTTTTCAAATCGTATCCTAAAAGAAGTGACGATGAAACTCTTTTCTATTTTCAATTGTACATGTGTTTTCAGATTTTCGGTTTGGTTAGATTGTATCAAGGTGGACTAGGTATGTCAGCTGACAAAAGTGAACCAGATTTGTTTTCACTCATTTGGCTCGGAAGAGAATCTGAAGCTATGTCGAAAATCAAATTCACAAATAAATTCACAAATTTAATTGAATTGAAAGAATACATTACAAATAAAACACGCTCTTGTATAATATTATTTCTGTCGAATGATATACCACTCAATAGCATGTTAATCGATCTGCCGCAGATCTGCGCCATTTATAATGAAAAGTTCGTTTGTTTACACTGTCTACCTACAATGGTAATGTTCGTTCATATGTATATGAAGAAAAAACAGGAAAAGATAACAAAACATTGTGCTATTTCATTATGTCTATCGTATATATTGCCTACTATTCGCAAATACTGGTTTCTTATCGGATTGGGTTGTGTTATCGGCCTGGCATATGCATTTCCAAATGTCGGCAAGACCGGTGGCTATATTCGTTCTGAATGGTCCGTCAAATGGGGATGTGTCATACTAATTTTCTTTTTTAGTGGTTTGTCTCTTCGAACAAAACTACTTGCTAAAGAATTTCTTCATATACGCCTTCATGCCGTCATTCAGATCTATAGTCTATTGATCATTCCATTTACAATTTATGGTTTAGGATTGTTGCTAACAAGATTGCCGATCAACAAAACATTAGTTGCCGGCATTGTTATAATGTCCTGTACACCTACAACTATTTCCAGCAACGTTGTTATGACTAAAACTGCGATGGGTAATGAATATTCAGCACTACTAAATGCAGCACTTGGCAATGTTTTGGGTATATTTATATCACCGGCTCTTGTCTTTTATTTTATGAGTAATCCTACTATTAATTCTTTGCCAAGCAGTTCTAGCGGTGCTGAGAGTAGTCGACTAGACTATGGAAATGTTATGAAAAACTTGGGTTTGACTGTGCTTCTACCTTTATTTGTCGGACAAGTCATTCATTTCTTATGGACAAAACAGGTTGCATATGTACGAGAAAAATTTTACTTTTCCGAACTAAATAGTCTAGCTCTGTTAGCACTAGTGTGGTCGGTATTTTGTACAGCTGTTGCCACAGGATCATTTCAAACAATACACGGAAAGGATCTTGGCGCCTTGATTATTATTGATGCCGGAATATATATTGGTTTTTCACTATTAATCATGATCACTGCCAGAATACCCATTCGACATTGGCAGTTCTCACAAGAAGATACAGTAGCAATCATGTTTTGTGGTGCCACCAAAACTGTAGCCATGGGAGTGCCATTAATAAACATTCTCTACACTGGTGGAGATCAAGAAGTAATTGGTTTACTTTCGTTACCATTGATCATGTACCATGTTGAACAATTGATTTTGGGTGCCGTTGAAGTATTGTTGCTGAAAAAATGGGTGACAACTGGAATCAAGAAAAATTCAACAACGCTGAACGATAACAAGGTGAAGCCCAAGATGTGCCAGCTTACAACCATAAGTGTGAGATCTTGACAGTTCATTTGCTCACCTGTCTCATGCGTCAACTAACATGAAAGCAACTCAGATGTTTAGAAATTCATTAAGTCACAACTACTGACTGAAGATATTCTTTTAGTCCTTGTATTGATTGAATAAAGTCTCAAACTAAGGTGTGGTTGTGGTGTTCGTGTGATTGTGAGTATGTATGTAGTTGTGTATACGTGTGAGAATGTGGGGTTAACTCGAGTGAAGACTGACACCCATACGCAACGCAATGTATGTACAAACGAGATATAATGAAGCGTTTGACTTCTTGCAATAAGTATTGATACATTACGAAAAATATTATCCTTCTAGCTATGCAAACATGGTTACTACATTGGTTACTATTAGTGAAGTTGCTCAATTGCGATTTGACTATGATACAGCTCTGGATATACAACAACGAGTGTTAGAAATTTGAAAGGAAAACAGTCTAGATGAATACTCGATTATTTCAAAAAATCTCCAAGAAATAGGTGATATTCTCTATAAACAAGAAGGATATGATGATGCTCTTAATTCTTACTGGCAAGCATTATCCATACTTGAAGAACTTTGCCCAATGGATCATATTGAAAAGCTAGTTGTTTACAATCAGTGACCATTGTCTGAAATGTGAATCACGATTGTGATCGTGCTATTACTGACACTCACGTTTTTGGCTCAAAATCAAAGAAATAGAAATAATCGCGAATTTTCTCATTGATATATGCAATGAATTGTTTCTTGATGCATATGAAATGTGTGTCATCAGATCGAGTACAAATTGGTGAGAGTATTTCTCGTATGGGCGAAAGTTACGAACATCTCAATAGACTACAACTAGCACTCGCTTTTTATGAAAATTGTTTACCCGACTGTCATGAGTATCGAATGAATTTAAGCTCAATATAGAACGACTCTCAAAAGAAACAACGATATAATAGATTTGTTTATAGTCACACTACAAGCATTCGATTTAGTAATGAACATTAATATTAAACATAGGGAATATCAAACAATTTTTTGACTGAACTTTAACACGTCCTATGATTCACAGTGTTCTTCTCTTGACTATTTTCTAAATTCTATGGAAAATTTATTATTGATGTTTTATGAAACCCATATAAAAATATAATAGGCATTTAACGAAGAGAGCGTTGAAATTAACCCCAAAACTTGCATTAAAAGACAAATTAACGAAGTTTAACGAAGAAAACTTCATAAATTTTCGTTAAATTTGGGAAATTCGTGAAAACGCGTTAGATTTTTCACGCTTTTTCACGCGTGATTATGTTTTTAACGATCACCAACTCGTTACATAGTGTTCAATATTGCATGCATTTTCATGCGTGAGGTTTTTAACGATGCTTCTTGCGTTTTTTATTTTTAACAAGCTTTATCGTGTTAGCTATCGTTAAATATTGCATTCGTTTTCTCACGTAGGGTTTTTTATTTTCCCACTTGAATTATATACTGTATTTACAAGTGCTTAGAAATATCATTCACATATCTCGTCATCTAACATACGTGAGAACACGCGCTTTATAACGAATTGTATCAACAGAGTGCGATTCAACGCCAAAATTACAATTTTGAATCAGGGTGGTACATGAGATATCTTAGCTACATGAGCGGAAAGATATCAAGATACTAATAGGCATGATTTCGACGAACCTTAGAGCGCTTTTACGAAGGTTTTACAAAAAGCGAAGCTTAGTTTTTCTAATTTCATAATTGTCAAGAAAATGTTTTGATCGCAAATTATAGGCCATGTAAACACTACGAAAATTAATGTCGAATTAAACAACTTGATGAGTTTAAAATTTAAAACAGACTTATGCCGGTTCAACGAGGTGATTTAATTTTGATGCATCAATAAAATTATGGCTTGATTGAACATAACAGAACAATGAAATATGTATATGAATAGATAGATGAGTGAAATTTATGTCGCTCGAAAATTCGCTGTTTTCAATTTTTTTGCCCTGGTATAGAGGCTATGCTGAGTTATGATTAGCGGATTAACTATTATAGTGTGTAGGGATACCGATTTAAAACAGAAATAAAGCTGTTTTATTTCTCTAGTGTGTACATGGCGATTCTTAAGGTGTAAACTAACATTTATTGTGGAGGGCGCTGATGTGAAAACGTCCTCAGAATATTTTGGGAAGAATTCTCGATTTAAAAATAAATATAAAGAGAAAATTTAATTTGATTTTTTGTTAAAGTTTTAGTTCAATCGAAAAATTCGTCATTATTCACATCTTATCATTGACTATACTATAATAAGATAGATAGAATAGACTATGAGTGTTCAGTGTTTCCCATTCAAAGAGATATAGCGTTGAGTGTTAATCCACGATATGAAATGCATAATGATGAGTTGTTCTGAAGGCACTAGAACTTTTACAGAAAATCAAATTAAATTTTTTCGTTATATTTATATTTGAGTCGATAGTTGTTTCTAAAACATTTTTGAAACTACTGCCATCTGTACTAAATGTGTGGCTTCTATGTTTTATCGACAAGCGTTTATGATTATATGACATGTTTATGATGTATTTTTATTATGAAACATCATTAGTATCCTTCTTTATATTAAACAAATTTTGAAAGCAAGATTGCCGTCTGAAGTTTACTCAAGAATGCATCGAGGTAAGTGAAGTCATTTTTGAATAACTTTTCACTGATACATATTCTGTGCTGCTCACTCTTTAAATCGATATCCCTGTTTGATTCGTATGACAGAGTAGACCCGTATAAAAGTAAAAATAGTTGACTGCTTTTTGTGATAATTTTTAGGTGAGAAAGAATTAACTATAAAAGTAGAGAAACTAGGATGAAAAATACGTAGTAACAAAATAAGCATAGCTGTACAGTGGAGTGAACGTAAAATTTTTTTCTGAAAGCTCAAAATATTTTTAATGTAGCTAGACTTGAAATTTTTCGTGATTCTTCATTATTGAGTTGAGCTGAAGTGACTATTTTGCTCATACCATAGGCGAAATTTTTTTTTCATGTTCTTGACTTGCGCAGGCCTCAAGATTTGTTCATAGTGCAGGACTTTCTTGCTCCAGATTCTCAAGTATCCCATGCGCATGCCATAAGAAGTTTTCCTAAGGTAGAATTCACATCTAATATGAAAAACATGACTTGTTCATCTTCAATAAATAGGGATGCACCAATTCCAATTCCTAGAATTGGTTGGAATTGAAATTGGAATTGGTCGGAATTGATTGTAATTGGAATTGGTTGGAATTGGTTTGAAAAAAATTGGTAACCGACTGATAATTTGTCGAAATATGTGTAAAATCATTGTTTTACAAAAACCAATTCCAAACCAAATCCAATTCCGACCAATTCCAATTCCAAACCAATTCCAATTCCAACCAATTCCACCAATTCCAAGTCAAGAATTGGAATGGGAATTGGTTGGAATTGGTGCATCCCTATCAATAAATGCTTAAGCTGAAGTATACGTTACTGCTCAGGGTGGGTGTGTGTGCGGGTGTTGTCACTGCTTAAATTACACCCACACCCACACCCACTCTCTCGCTACAACTTTTTCACTCCGTCAACGTCTCTCTCTCAAGACGATTGATCAACTTAACTACTTGAAGAAAACAACAAAATATCAAAAACTCAAAAGCAAGAATGACATTTACGCTTGATCAACACAATCAAAAGTAACAAAGAAAAGCACACTGAACGACAATCAAAAACAAGCGGCGAAAAAACAAGCCATCGTTACACAACCGAAAATAAAAAGCAAATGAAAATATTGTTCCGTCAAAAATTTTGGTTCATTTTTAAAATGTACAGTTGGTCAAAAAATTATCCAACCACCCGGTTTCAGTCTCATACAAAGACTTTATTCAAATAAAACCTTTACGAAGACGAACTATTGTGAAGCTTATGTAGGATAGAAAGTTTTCTTTGCTCTATCCAATGATGGTATTTTAATAAAAAAGCCAACATATTTTGAAATTGAAAATCGTGTTTTGCGAAAAATCATGAAATTTTTCTGAAAAATAGATCGCTGACAAATTTGATAGAGCTCTTGGACTGGCAAAGCACATATGCAGTTTTGTAGAGCAGCTCACGGCGCATCGAATGGTTTATAGAAAACTGTATTTTCTTTAAGTCTTAATGCATTAAGTAACAATATACTCCTTACAGGCATATAGCGAGTGAAAAGTATGTTAAGTAGTAATATCAACTGTTTTTTTTTCGTTCTGTTCATCATATATGTGTGTCACCTCTTTGTCATATACATATGTCGCTTTCTCCTTCTGTTCTATAGCTTGGTATTTTCTAATGTTAGCACTTACTAGGCTTTTACTTATATTTTATGTGGATGTTTCCAATATATCGTGTTATTCATCATCATTTATATAGTTGTGATTCTCTGATAATAAATAAAACAGATATTGAATGATAGTGTAAAATCATCTTTGTTCAATAACATGTTGAACTGAGAAAATATCAAACCTAACAAGTATCCGGGCATCCTGACTTATTTTCAATATTTGTCACTTACCTTGCACAAGATTATTCACTACAAAATTCTGCTTTCATTGAGGGATAGCCAGACGTCTCTGGCATCAAAACTATAAAACAGGCCAGGATCGAAGAGCCTTGCTAGAACTATTTATAACGTTTTCAATATAAGAAACGGATTTTCCTAAATGCTTGCCCATTGTACATTCCAAGCAGTATATAGGTTCTGAATGCATGAAGACTTGAAGAAAATAGAATTTTCTATATACCATTCGATGCGCCCTGAGCTGCTCTACAAAACTGCATATAGGCTTTGCCAGTTCAAGAGCTCTATCAAATTTGTCAGCGATCTATTTTTCAAGAAAATTTCATGATTTTTCGCAAAATATGATTTTCAATTTCAAAATATGTTGGCTTTTTTTATTAAAATGCCATCATTGGATAGAGCAAAGAAAACTTTCTATCTTACATAAGTTTCACAATAGTTCGTCTTTGTAAAGGTTTTATTT